TCTGAGGGCACGACGGCCAAACTCGCAAATTGAAAAGCTATGACGTCAAGCAGATCTGGATATCTTGGCGGGGCGCCGTGCATTCAATGCGGCAAACATTTTGGGTTAGAAGCCGTCAACCAAGTATCAAGCACCATGTTAAGGGCTGAATCCAGACCTCAAAGTAGATTCATAACATAACAATCTCTAGATAACCAAGAAATTTGAATTGTGCGGCTCCTCACAGAGCAAGGTCAGCCCTCAGCGGCGCAGCTTCCTGCCAGGATAGGAGGATTCCTATCAGTGATAATTCAAATTTCATGGGACCACCGTCCAAGGTGATTTGAGAGTTCTGGCGCATTGTCTCTGTCTCCTTCTGAGGCTTCAGCCTTCTACCGTACCTATCTTGTTGCCTCGTTCAGGAGGGGCTACCATGAGCTCCTTGTATCACGTCATCAGCAATGCAGACCCTCAGACTGGGATCAGAAGCCGCCACACGGTCCTTGATATCGGGACAGCGGTCACAATTTCACCCGAAGCTGCTGACCGCAAATCCTGGGGTCAAGCCACAGATTTTGTGGGCATCATCAAAGAATTCTGCCATACTGCAACGGGTGTTGAGCTCTTGGTGCAATGGTTCTACACGCAGAACAATCTATTGCAGGAGGGCGTGAAGCCTCCAGCCGAGCATGCAGCCAACGAGCTTTATAGCTCAGATTCGACCTCCTGGATACCTGCAGAGGCAGTCTCTGGGAAGGTTGAGATCCTTTCCAAGTCACTTGCTGCAGCTACCTATCCCCCGCTAACCCCTCAGAAACTAGCAGTAAGCGGCCGCTTTTACTGCTGTCATGAGCTCGTCGTCGCAGAGCGAAAGCTGGTTCCTGTCAGCCAGCAGCCGACTCCCTCTGATTGGCCACGCTGTGACAACCTTGATGTCACGTGGTCACAGCTTTGTAAAATGATTGCCAAATCAGTCATTTTGACTCTGCGGCCGTCGCAAGGGGCTCATCAACGGACTGCAAAGGTTGCTATCCCCATCACAGCCATTCCCCACCTGCTCGAAGCGGCCCCATGCTCTCGCATAGGCACTACATATCTGGTGTGGAACAAAGGCGTTCTCTGCCGTGCTTTTGACAACCTGCTAGGGGAGCACTGGGATCTTAGGAACCTGAACGCTGACCTGAAATCAATCAGGCCAGAGTCAAGAGGGAATCGCTGGTGGGAAGGTGAGTGGGAGACGTAAGCACATGAACAGGTCTCTGTTGCGTGCATGTTGGCTTCGCTCAATACCAGCTCTTGATTACAATCCAGATCCTATAGCAACTTAGTTTCTTTGAACCCCTTGAGCTGCACAGGGTACGAACTTTACTGTCTGCTGGTTCACGCCAAGCGCACAATCCGTGAACTTCACCAACTCGTGGAGCTCATCAGCCATTTCGAAACTTCAGAAAGAGCCCGCACTCTTGCTTTAGAAAAGGATGTGACCCACTGCCAATGATAGCTGGCCTGTACACATTCTTTGCCTTGCTTCTCGCGCCCCTTGAAGCACATCTGCTGGTCCACTACTTTGCCATCTTCAATCAAGTATCTAAGATGTTGAAAGAATGTTGCGCAGGTATCACATTGAGAGGTGTATGCTGTACCTCAGCCTCCAGCAAAGCAGGTACAAGTATACGAGGGACCTGATGATGCCACTTGAGGTCAGGTACTGCTGGACGCCGCAAGACGATCACTACGAGGGTGAGAAGCCCTTTTTCTATCAACCTGTGATTGAGCAGCGAGTCATTCTGTTGGTCGGCGTTTGTCAGAGTTAACTTTCTGCAAGGATTGATTCCTTTTAAAGCGACCCGCTCAGTTCAATTCTGGGGAATTTGAGAAGGGTGCTTTCCAAAATGTGGTTTTCGAAGCTGAAAGTGCAATGAAGACGTGACCCCTGTGGTGTTGCTTCTGGTGGGTCTTGTCTGCCTTCACTCTTCTATCATGGCAGCATGTTTTGATGAGTGGGCTTTCTCTTTTTGTCTCTCCTTTCGCTCGTGCGATGGCTGGTATCTGCGTTGGTTGTGAATAAGGTGTGTTGTCACTCTGCCATTCTCGTCAGAACTGGGCACTCTCTTTATCAGATGCATGGATTAACAGAGCCAGTGTCTGCAAAGTGTATTCATAACATGCAAGATTATTGGGCTTTGTTGATCGGCTCCGGCTTAGCAGTTTGGTGCCTTGCCGCTGTCTTTGAACAAGAGCTGGAACGAATCATTCTGCTCATTGGTGTTGCAGATATATTTCGATATTTTGATCTGAACAAACGGTTAGATAGTCTTCAACTGAGTTATTTCCAGCCTTGCAACCGCAGTGGCCGAGGAGGCGTCGCTGGATGTTTTCACCGAGGAAGGCAACGCCTCTTTCACAATCGACAATCTGCTCCTGAAAGATACGCTCACGTACGTGCGCGAGCAAATTGTGGAGTTCCATGCGGACGATGCACCTCGAAAGTTCCAGTTCTCATACAGGGGGACTCTGGTGAGTTGGCATGCTTGTGCATCGAACATGTTGGAAGCAGCAATATCTGTCCTCCTTCAAGTTTCTTCTCTCGTCCTTTTTTGGCAGTCGGCTTGGCAGGTTAAGCTGTCCTCGGGGTGTCCTGCTCGGCTCACTTGTCCGCCAGAATCAAACACCCGTGGCATATGATCGTTTCTGATGTAGTAACTTCTGCCGTTGGATCTCCGGGTTGCTATCGAACCAGTCGGATCTCATCCACTGTTCTGCAGCCATCACTTTACCTCTTTTAGTGAGCTCCTTTCAGTCAGTGTCGTTAGAATGAGCTGCTTCCCTGATATTTGGTGCCTCTTTCGGGCTGCTTCATTCATTGGTTTTGCCGCTTCCAAGTAACGACTCGGACATGATAAGCAAATGCCGCCTTGATGCATCCTTGCAGATTGGGCCACGGCAGGAGGAGAAGACGGTTGTAGCTACGGTGTTGCCAAAGCAAACTAAGTCACAGGAGACTGGCGAGTTGACAACCGACCGATAGTACACTCTTCGACTGATCGAGATTCAAGAGTAGGCTACAAGTTTGAATCTTGAGCTCGCTTGTATGTGCCATGAAGCCCTTTCGGATCCATTCTTTGCGAAGGATACATGAGGGATCCCATTGTTCTGGACTGCTCTCATTTCAGAAAGCAAGCCTTGTGCGTGGCATGTACGAATGATCCAACTTGGCATACTCTAATTTCGATGTGACAACAATGATTCTGCTGAATTCATCGCATCCATACGAGCACCAAATATTGCTAGTATCGGTGGATATCATTTGTTGGGCGACATTATCCTTGTCAAAGATGATCGGAAAGCTTGGGCCCAAGCACGTGCACCTTGATCATACCTTTCACTCTTTGCATGCATGTTAAACGAGCGCGCATATACAGCAGTATCATGGTGCGAAGCAACCATTTAACATGGTGCGGCTCCGCAAATCTCAAGTCACCGTTCTTTGAACGAACGCTGTGACGGTTGGACAGGGTCACACGCTGCCTGTCTACTTCACATGTGCGGAAACCATGCGAAGCTTCTCA